GGAGAGGTGGAGCTGAGGGGTCTCCCCCAAGGTCACCCGGAGTGCCCAGATCGCCCCGGGTGGGAAGCAAAGCGGGGTGGGGGGGGCGCTCCCTATCCTCCCCTTTCCGGATGCAGACTCTTCCTCTGCTCTTCCCTCTCGGCCTGGCCTCCGGCTTCACTGGAGATGTTGATAATGCAGCTAGCAGCCGGGGAGGATGGTTGAACCTAAGCAAGCTGTGAATCTGGCGGTCCCGGGAGCACCGCGGCGCGCCACCGCCACGCGCCAGGCCTAGGACCCGGTGTTCCTTGGCACCGCGGTGTGGAGGGAGAGAGATGCGGCTGCATAAGCGCTTCTCAGAATCGAAAGCCGAGCTGCTTGTGAGCCCATGTGATTAGATTCCACATAATGGGCCCCTGTTCTTTCTGTCAGAGGCGCCCACCAGCTCCCCGCGGCCTGGAGCGCCAGGTGCCGCCTCTGAATCGCCCTCTGTGGAGGGCCCAGGAGGTACCAGGCTCCTTTCACGGAGCTCCAAGTGGAAGGGGCCTGCAGTTAGCGGCCTGGGCCCGCGAGGGTCCTCCCTGAGTGCCTCGTTGTTTCTTGCTGCTGGTGAAGCCCTGGGGAAACCCTCTTTCCAGGCTAGTAACAAAGCTTCTCCGCTGAGCCAGCGACTAGGTGTCTGCCCGCGGGCGCGGCGCTTGGCCTCCCGAGCCTCAGTTGTCTCTGAGATAGCGGGCACGGCAGGCTGTGAGGTGATAAGTGAGGGGCCTGGCAAAAGCCAGGGTGCCAGAAAGCATGGGAGGCAGAGCGGGGTGTGTCTCTTAGACAGGTGCAGGAATGGATCCCTGGTGGGTGGTTCTGCAGGGCTGGGGGAGTTTCCACATCTTCCCTCACTCTGTCACAAAACGCCAGCTTGCAGGAGGCGGTGAGGGGCAGTGAGTCCTTCCAGCTTGCTGCCTGCTCACGGGGCCTCCCCGCCTCACACACCTGTCACCCAGAGTCCATCTTCTCTGCCCCAGGCCCTAGGATACTGCAGGCAAGTTGTCAGCCAGGTCACGCAGACCTTCAAGTCAGTCTGTACTTTCCTGTCCACTGCTGACCCCCAACAGTGTCCACTGGCTTCCTGGCTCTTCCCGGCACATGGAAAGTTCTTTAGGAAGCCCACCTGATCCTTCCTCTCTGGTGGTCCCCTTCTGCTGTGACATTCGTTTGTGGCTTTAAGGGTTCAAGTGCCAGAGCCCATGCTTCCCTGGCCTGGATGTAAGTGGTAAGCGAGGCACATGCCTGGTCCTGCTCAGACTTTGTTCTCTCTGCTAATTGAGACACAGTGGAGGTTAAATTCTAATCTGGCTATTAAGTCTTTAGGAAAGCTGAAGGCAAGGAGGTAGTTTTTCCTAAGACTAGAACCTTTCTGCAGAGTTCACTTGACCCTTTGGAAACTCAGCCAAAGCAGGTCCAGAGTGAACACTGCCCAGCGGAGGCTGTGGCCAGCCTGCTTTTGGGCAGAGACCTGAATTCAAGTACTGGGCTTGAACTTTCACCTTTTCCCCTCTCCAAACCTAGCCCCACCGCCTGCCTGCCTCCAGGACACTTGTGGCATTTGCTGGACAGTGGGTCCCAACTGAGATCCTCTCAGCCAAGCCTGGGAGTTGACAAGCGTTGACAAACCTCAGAGTTGACAAGCCTGCCCCCCACAGAAAGCTGCAACTAGGAAAAGCAAGGGAACCGGGCAGGTCTAGGTGAAATTACAGCTCTAACCTGAAAGCTCTGGGACCCTATGTGACGCTCTTACCCTCTGGGGGCCCAGTTTTCCCATCTGTAAAATGGGAGACATGGTCATGCTGGCTTCATGGGGTTTTAAGGGTTGTGTGAGACCATAACTAAGAGAACATATTTAAGAACCTGGTGCAGGGGGGAACACAGGAAGTGGTTGTCACCATCTCTGTCATTTCCTCCTTTTGTCGGTCTCTTAAAGGTCCCACCTTCTCTGGTTCAGGGGGGTTGGACTGTGTCTCTTCTGCCTCCTGCTCTCAAGAAAGGGGATGCCTTTCTATGCCTCTTGGAGATGGGCTCTCTTCCCCCAGGAATCTGAGTCCAGCATGACCCTGTCCTCAGGGAGTCTGTGACGTCCACATAGCCTTTCTCAGCTGCCTGCCATTTTCCAAGATTCTTTGATTTCTTCAGTGTAGACCTTCTGTCCATTGCAGACTTTCTGTTGAGCAAGAGGTTTCCAGATGACTAAGGCAGCAGTAGGGGGAGAGGCAGGCCTGGAGACAGGGAGAACCTGTGGGATCAAAACTTCTATAGCAAGCAAGAGTGGGGAGTTAAAAGCATGGGAGCACAGGCTGAACCAGTGTGGATTGAAGCTGCCACCCCGTCTCTGGGTGATGATGAAAAGACTCCTTACCTCTCCTGCACACAGGCTACTTACCCAAGCTGGCGAGGTGAGGAGAAAAGAGACACTGTGGGTATAACCTGAGCTCAGGGCCTTCTAGACACGAATAAGTGCTTGCATATGTTAGTTACTATTATTATTGGTTTATTAGTGTCAATAACAGGTGAGCAGAGTTTGCTATGGGAGCACACTTGCTCTCTCCAGAGCACACTTCTCTCTTCCCAGGTGGTAGGTAATGGAGGGTCCAACAGCCCTGGAAGAGATAGATGCATATGCAAAGCACGCAGGCTTGGATGCCTGCAGTGTCTTTGGTGAGCCAGGGGAGGCGTCACAGCTGGAGCCAGTACACTGTGAGGGAGGTAGGAGCAAGGCTGGGGAGGGGACAGAGGCCATCCTGCCAGGGCCCTGAGAGAGCAGATGCTCACTGACCCAAAACAGACACCCTCTGGCCTCGTCTAGTGGTGGCTCTCTGAAGAGAGCTGTGGAGTTCAGGGTTGTTGTCCAAGAGGAAGGGCTGGCCTGTGCTCCGTTGCTCGTGTATTCCCCATTCCTCCCTCTTCACTCCACCTCCCTGAGATGTGTCTCCCACCTCTGCTTTTCTCTTCCTGGGACTCAGTTGTCACGTGAAGGAAGAAGATGTGGCAGAACAAGTGGATTGAACTGATTTTCTTGTTGGTCATGATATTATGTGTGCCACATGCCTCTTGGGACGCTGATCACTGCTCACAGCCTTTACTTCATTGTCATCGAGTCCTTGTAACAACCCGGTGAAGTAGATGCACTGATCTCCGTTGCACAGATCGGGAAACTGAGGCACAGAGGGGAGACAGTTTGCTAGCGGCCTTCTGTGCATATATGTGACTCCTGTCTGGGGAGTCTCCAAAGTTTCCATATCTGTCCTGCACCCTTCCTTCACGCTCTCTGTAAATAGCTAAAGCTGACTGCGAAATATCTGACTTCTCTCACTCTGGACCCTTGGGTGCTGGGTAGTAGGCACTTTGGAGATGGATCACAGTAGGGTATTCTCTGGGTACCTGTCCTGATTTGGGGGAAGTGCCTGTGTGGGAGGAGGTGTTCTACAAATCCAGATTGGCATTCCTCAGCCAACTGGTGTCCCATAAATGTGCCTTTGATGCAGGCAGTTTGTGGCCTGATTGATGTGGCAGGTGGCGGCCAGGCCCCATGGTGGCCCCAGGGAGGAATGAGTGTTTTAGGATGACTGCTCAGAACATCACATGATGACAGACCCTGTCACAGAAGATATCCAAACAGAGGCTCAGATTTCCTTTTTTGTGAGGGCATGGTTTAGGGCCAAGATTCAAATCCTGGCTCTGCTTTCCATGAGCTCTTGGGCCTTGGACAATGTTCTCGTTTTTTTGAGCTTCAATCTCTTCATCCGCAAACACAGGCATATTTATTATATAATACACACATGCATAATTCAGAGCTGTTGTAAGGATTTATAATCCTATATAAAATGCCTGGCTCCCAAATTGTAGATGATTGTAAATAAAGTCCACCAAATTTCCCTCCATGATACTTATAATAATTGTGATTATGTGGCTATGTTATATGGTGATCCATTAGTCTTTCAGTCTGCTCTACTAGACCAGTGTGGTACTCAACCCAAAGTCACAACCAGGTGGGAGGGCAGAGGGGGAGGGGAGTTACTGGCACCTAATACAAGAGACTTGGGATGCTGCTAAATATTCTATAGCGCACAGTGTAGTTCCCCACAATTCAAAGAATGATCTGATCTAAGTGTTAATTATGCCAAGGTTGAAAATGGCTACACTGGACTGCAGGTCCCATAAGGTCAGTGACTGTGTCTAATTCATTCAGCTCAGTGTCCCCAGTTGCCCAGTGCAATACCCAGCACCATTATACATTAAAGGAATGAATGAAGTCTTGGAAGGCCTATGTGTTCCGCAGTCCCAGGGGTTTGGCTTATGGGACATTTTGAATGGGCTGTAGAGATATAGATTTAGAGGCCTAAAGAAATCCAGAGCAAACCCTCTAATCTCCTTCCCGAGCAGGTGTGTGGGCCCCGTATTATCTGCATAGTTGCCGCCATCACCTCTGTGTTTTGCTGCAAAGATACAGGACTCACCTTGATCTGGTTGAGTGGGCTGGAGCAGGGGACCACAGGTGCTGACAAGAAATGCCCTGTCAGCCGGGCCCTTGGGATTTGCCAAGCTGGGGTGCAGCTGGGTCAGCTTCCTGTTTTTTCCCTTTCTGGTGGAATGAAGGAAACCCACTGAATGGCTATTTTTCCACTGACATTTACAGCAATGTGATAGGCCTTGGATTAATGAGGTCAAGCTACAGTGTGAAATCTGCCTGATAACTTGATACTGGGCCAACAGGAAGAGAGCGCTTGTTTTCTTGGGGCTTTTTGATGTGTCTGGATGGCTTTGGGCAGAGAAGCCGGGGGTTGTGACTCTGTTCAAAAGAAAGGAATGTTTTTACACCGTGGAATTATAGAGGCTAGAGTTCTTTCTTGTTTTAATTTATTGGGAAACTTATTTTAATGTGGGCTTTGAAATAAATAATTCATTACAGCAGTGGTGCACTCTGAGCCTCAGGCTGGTCACCCAGTGGGGAACCTGGGCTATGGAAAGACCACCCCATGTTTCCAGGTCTCTGTAGGAGTTGGAAGGGAAAGGTTGGCCCCAGAGGGCATTTGGGCAGGTTATATGGGCCTATCCCTTGGAATTTACACAAGTAGGGGGAAGGGCCCAGGGCTGTGACTCAAACCGCTACCTTGGTATTCCTGTTAGAAGGCAGAGTCTGATCTAGAAGGTCTGGGCCAAGGCTCCTGTGTTTCTAACAGGCCTCAGGGGTGCCATCCCACCGGTCTGTCAAGTGCACTCTGAGTAGCTCTTGTCAGGGGAACTCCAAGTCTACAGGCGAGGGTCCCTGCTGTGACCCTCAAGCACAGGAGCAAATTCAGCCTGCACAACAGTTTGCACAGCCATCTGCTCTGCCGGCTGGCCTGTGGAGAACGCAGATGTTTACTGTGCCCATTCCTGTGTGCCCAGGCCTGGGACCAGACACGAAAGACCGGATGCTTGGTCTCGGGGAGCAGCTCAGACAGCCAGAACTTGCGTGATGGGCTGTACTGTTTCCAAAAACAGGTGTCCAGGAACACAGTGTTCCTGGGTCATCTGGTCACCCGGGACTTCTTAAAAATTCAGATCCCTGGGCCTTAGTCAAGCCCACCTCTGTCAGAGTTAGCCAAGGTGGGGAATCTGTATTTTTAAAAAATGTGCCAAGTGGTTCTGCTTCATAGCCAGCATGGCGGGAGGGACGAGTGAGGAAGAACCAGCCTCACAGGTTGCTAAGCAGGACTCGGAGGGCTGGAAAACTGGATGCTGCGCTGTGGCGTCCAGCTGAGGGAGGGAAAACCCAGCCTGCATGCCACTTGCCAGCTCTGCTCCCTGCAGGGTTGCCTCTGCCTGGGGAAAGGACACCTTTTTCTTAAGATTAGTAACACTGTCTGTTTAACTCTTTTGACCCTCATTAGAACTCTAAGAATGTCATTATTACTACCCTGATTTCACTGCTCAGGAATTGAGTCACAGAGAGGTCCAGTGGCATTCCCAGGGTCACATAGTCACTAAATGGCAGTCAGAATTCGAACCCAGCACATCTGGCTTGGAAGCCCTTTGTTACTCTTGCCTCCTTTCTACAGGGAGTGCCTTTTCCTGGTCCTACCTTGGGGCAGTGGCCCAATAGTGACTGTGGCTGGCTTTGTAGTCAGACCGTTATTTCATTGCTACCTCCACCAAGACCTTACTGCATCTTAGGCTACTTGCTTTTAACTTCAACTGCTGAGCCTTAACTTCCCTATGTGTAGAATCAGAATAATGGTAGTATGAGATGGATATGGTGAAGCACAAAGTCTTTGTGTTGCAGGTAGGATGTACTTGCTACATATCAGCTGTTAGGATTGCATTATTATCTTTTTTGTTTGTTTGTTTTTGGTACCAGGAATCAAACTCAGCACCTTGCGCTTGTGAGGCAGGCGGTAGAACCACTGAGCTAAATCCCCGGCCCTTGCATTATTTTCTTTAAAATCATCTTCTGTAATGGCTTCACAACAGAGGGGATAGGTAAGCAGAGTACTGTGTCATGGTGTCTACCAGGTTATTTATGGCCATTGCTTACCTGGGCATCCCTAGCTTTTGCTTTTTGGCACTGGTTAAAAGCCCAGAGTCTGTGCCAGGGTACTGATTTCTCAGGCTGTCTTGATTCAACGTTGGGTCAAAAATGGATTTATCTCTGTCACACAGTTCTAAGCCAAAGGAACACACTCTGAAGCTTCCTTTCTTGGTGACTTTCTGAGCCTCACAGCTTCTTTCTGGAACTACATGCATCATCTCCTCGGCTCTCTTGTGAACTGGACAGAGAAGAAATGTTGCCTTCTAGACACTGCCTGAGGAGTGTCCCAAAGGAGCCAGGGAGGATTTTCACCAACATGTCATTCTTTTTTTTTCTCTGTCATCTAAAACCAAGCTTTTGCTTTCTTATTGCTGTGTTTTATGCTTTTTAATTATAAAAAGGACGCAAACATTGTAAAAATTCAAGCAGTACAGAAATCTGGAAAATGGAAAGTAAAATTTCCCTTCCTTCCCCAGTTACTGATCCTCTTTCCCCAGAAGAAATCCAGAAATGTTTCATGTATCTTTCCATAAATTTCAGATGAATATTTATTTGAATGCTTATCCGTTTTTTCCAACACATCTTTCTATACTATAGTCTTCTGCAATTTGCTTTTTAAACTAGTGTATCTGAGCACAAGTCAACACATGCATATACCTGGTTTTTAAAGTGTATATGAAACATAAATAGATTTTACTTTTGGACTTGGATTCCATGCTTAAGATATTTCATTATGTATATACAAATATCTCAAAATCTGAAAAAAATATTTTTTAGTTAGATTTTGTAGTAATTCAGGTCTTTCAACTGTGTTCATATAAAGAATGTTAACTATTCAGGAACTACACATTACCTGGCTTTATGCTTGGAATTAGAGGTATAAAATTAAATTAAAACAGACTATCCCTAATTGAATCCCATTTCAAGTTGGCAAACAGATGGCCAAATGAGAGCAAAACAGTGTAGTTCAAGTTGTACTAGAGAAATGCATAAGCTAAGATAACTTTTGTTTAATAAAGTCTGTCTCAATGAACACAAATGAATTTGTAAAATACAGCATGCACTGTGTCCTGGAATGAGGTAGGAGAGACACACTTGAAATTCTTAAAATAAAATTACTTGCTAGGCACCATGGGATACGATTGAGATCCTAGCTACTCTGGAAGCTGAGGCAGGAGGATGGTAAGTTTGAGGACGGCTGGGGCAACTTAGCAAGATTGTTTTAAAAATTTGTAAAATAAAAAAATAAAAAGGGCTGGGGAATGTAGTTCAGTGATTGTGTGTCCCTGGGTTCAATCCTAGTACAGAGGGAGAGAGGAAGGCTTGATGAGGTGTGCAAAAGTCATAATGGGAGCATTAGAAGAGGTGGGAAGTCAGTAGGGGGCAAAACATTTTAAACTAATCTCTTTGGTAATTTGCATGTTTACCAGTGGGGTTTGTTTGAAGGATCCCATGCAGACACCTGGCTGAGTTTGCACTTTGCACTTCTGATCACTCACACTGAGGCAGAGCTATTTGTTGGTCCAGAAAGAGAGGGAGCAGCCAGACATGGCTGTAATCTCAGCACTTTGGGAGGCTGAGGCAGGAGGGTAGCTAATTTGAGACCACCCTGGGTAACTTAGCAATTTAGCAAGTCCATCTCAAAGTAAAAAAATGAAGAAAGGACTGGGAATGTAGTTCGGTGCTGTTCAGTACTGTAGAAAGAAATAAAAGGCGGGAGGAGCAGAGAGCAGAAGGCTGTCTTTAAAAATCCACATCTTGGAGCTCATGGAGATTACATGTAGGTGGTACAAACAGGCTGTTTACCCCTGGGGTTACTAGGAGATATGTCTGTAGTAGAGTGGATGAAGAATGGATGTTCAGTGAATGAGTGTGCATCAAAGATCTGTGTCTTGTACAGGGATCTCCTGCTCAAAAAGAATAGGTCCATTTCACAGATAGGTCTGATCATAAGATCTACTCATTTAGGAGGAGCCAAAGCTTAGCTATACATTTTCTTTAGACCTACCTATCTTGAACATCTCTTCATTTACCTGGGACACCGTAAGAGGAAACAAGGCAAAGAGCAGTTGAGAATTCTGTGAAAAGGGCTGTGGACTGAATCTAACCATTATTTTATATGAAATACTCTAAGCAGGGATAGACAGAGCTAGTTCCAAAGCATGCAGGATGGAGAAGAAAAGACAAAGCCAGTGGCAACCCTAGTCCATCTTCTCGTGGAAGGAAAGGTGGGGACCTGGTCACTCTCTCTCTCCAGCAGCCAGGTCTGTTTTGTCTGGGTTAATGCCGTAGTTCTTGTTCCAAGCCAGAGGGCTCCTTTCTTTTTTTTCTTTTTTTTTTTGAGACAGAGTCTCACTGTGTAGTTGAGACTGACCTGGCACTCACTATGTAGCCCATGCTGGTCTCGAACTCCCAGCAATCCTCCTGTCTCAGTCTCCTGAGTGCTGGGATTACAGGCCTGCGCCACCACGCCCGGCTAAGAGGACTACTTTCTTATGACAACTGACAGGATGATATCGATGAATTTTCAGGCTCTGGATCTCCAATTCTCCTGTTACCCTTTCCCATTTATTGAATACCTACGATGTTTTGGGTATCTCTATGATGAAATATGAAGGTAAGTAATGTATGAATTCTGTATTTATAAGTTATCCTTTGCCTTCCAAGAACATCCGGTGACATGGAGGAGCCAGAAGATCTAAAACCAGCAGTTGCTCAACAGAGTGTTGAGCATTGTGCTAGAGATGTGGTCTCTATCTAGCCTGAGAACTAGAGAGGGGAAAGAAATCCATTTGCCACAGAGCAGATAAGGAACAATTCAGAGGGAATATAAAGAACAGAGAGACAATATTGTCTAAATGAGTCAAGGCAAGGCAAGTGTCGTGCAGCGCTCAAGATAGATAGTTATCATTATAACACTAGAGTTACAGTAGCTCTCAAAGAACAAAGAGGAATTTGCCAGGCAGAAAGAAAGAATAGTATTGCCACCCCTGGAAGAGCACATTAGGAGGTGAGTGTGCTATAGTGAGGACTGCACAGGCTTTGCTTTGCAGCAGATGAGTCTGGATTCAGATCCCAGACCTGCCACTTACTAGTTGTGACTCTGAGCTTGTTAGGGTGAGTTCCCCTTTCTAGTCTGTTTAGTGGGGATAATGGTACCTGTTTTCAAGACTCATTGTGGGGAGATTAAAGCCAATTTATGAATAGTACTTGGCACATAGTAGGCCCTCAACAAATGGTGACGACCACTGTGCAGTGTGAATCGATCAGACATGCTTGGTATTGCCAGAAAATGACTTGGAGGTGGGACCGGCCAGAGATAAAGCTAAAGGGTCAAGACTGGATACAGATCGTCTAGACCAGCAATGGCAAACCTTTTAGAGCTTTCAGTGATACACACAGCCCACGGTGGTGTGTGTGCCATAGGTTTGCCAGTGCGGGTCTAGATTGTTGGACTGAGGGCTTGAGGCTTGACTCAGCTGGGCACGACCACATGCTTCTCTACAGAATGAAAGCTACCAGTGGCAGGTTGGAAGGTAAGAGATGGAGGCAAGGAAACTACTTTGGGAACCGCAGCATCCCACTTCCTTGTCTTGGCAATGCAAAGCTCACGTTAGGATAATTAAGGCTTTGTTAAGTCCTGCAGCTAAGTGCTTACAGGAGAGGCAGTTTAGGGCAGTGGTTAAGAGCATGGGCGTCAATGTCAAAGCCAATCTGGATTTGAATCCTAGCTCTCTTGCTTACTAACTGTATTCCTTGGGCAATTACTTAACCCAACTGAGCTTTAGTTTACCCTTCTATAAAGTAGGAGTTAATAATGCCTTTTTCATGGGCTTATGGTGAGGATTAAATGAAACAGTGTAGATCAAGCACTTAGCTCAGCTCCAGGAATGCAGTTAATGTTCAATAAAAGCTGGTAATTATAATGGAGAAGTATATTACTTATTTGAACATGGAACGCTGTTTCCACCCAAGGCCCATTCACATCTTCTCGCACTACCAGTGTTCTCCAGAAGAGCTCCTGCTTTAGACTTTCCAGAGAAGCAGCAGCATTTTCTGGTCCAAGAAATAGTAAGGAGGCTTGCCAAGTTCTGACACGGTGGTTTTTGGATGCACATTAGACCCACTCAGGGAGCTTTTAAAAATGTCAGTTCCTGGCTGTACCCCAGACCAACTAAGCCAGAATTTGCCAAGGTGGGACCCTCTGACCACAATATTTTAAAAAAATTATAATGATTTATTATGGGAAAATCAAAATATATACAAATCGCAAGTGGATACATTTTTCCATTTCCCATTCAAAAAGCAGAATGTTACCAGTACCCCAGAAGCCCCCTTCCATCCTTTTCTGGCTCATCCCCTGACCTTGAAACCACCATCCTAAGTGACAACAATATAGATTTCTTTTTTCCTGTTGTTGCATTTTACATAAATGGAATTATATGGTATGAAGTTTTTGTTTGTTTGAAAAATCGTGGCTGGCGTTTTCGAGAGTCATCCACATTGTAATTGTACATTGTTCATTCTCATTGCTGTAAAGCGTTCCACTGTGGGACTAGCACTTCCCTCCCCAAGTGCTGTTGATGGGTTTGTTGGATTGTTTGTACTTTGGGTCTTTTTTTACAAATAGTGCTTAACTTCCTGGCAAATGCCTTTTAGTGAATGATATAGAAATTTCAGGGCATGTATATGTTCAGTTTTATGAAATACTGTCAAGCAGTTTTTTGAAAAATGGTTTTACTGATTTATATTCCTAATCCATGTATAAGAATTCTTGCCAAACACTTGATATTTCCTATCTTTCTAAAAAGGTTTGGCCAATCTGGTAAATAGGTAGTGGTCTTCCTCTGTGATCTTAATATAGATTCCTAGAATCTCCAGGTGATTCTAATGTAGAGCCAAGCTTGAGAACCTTTTTTCTAACATATTTTGGAAAGTGTTAGTGGATCCAGTCATGGCGGTGCACATTTGTAAACCCCACTGCTCCAGAGGCTGAGGTAGAAGGATTTCAAGTTCCAGGCTAGCCTGGGTTATACAGTGAGACCTTGTCTCAAACAACAACAACAAAAGTGCCGGTGAAACTGAAGAAAGATAGTACAGTGTCTGAAGCCAGAGTTTCTATGGACCTGATGTGGCTGCTCCAGGGAAGGATGTTTTGCTGAGGAGAGAGAATATTCAGCTGTTCAAACATGAAATGTGCCCCTCATTCCTGCGTGCT